TTTGGCAAATTTCCAAACGCTCGAAACCCATTCTTTGCATGAAAAGCTTGGTTTGCTAGATTCGTTCTTAGTTTCTTCCTGTTTAGAAGGGATATTAATCTCAATATTACCCTTTTTCCCACTCATTTTCCAATGATGAATTCTTGTTGAATCAAGTAATGGAATCCTTTAAAAGATTATATATGTCGTGTGTAAGGCTCTCTTGCTTATAGTGTGTGGTTAGGTTTGGAACGTAGTGAGACAGTTTGGTTTGTGGATACAGTTGTTGCTAAAGGGAGAATTTGGAGGAGCCAACTCTAGAATGAGACCAGAATAGCAGCGTTTTGGTAGCTAAGTTGGTATGGAAGAATTCCTATGGGAGGGTCGTGTCTTCTGAAAGGGAAACAAGGGATTTCAACAATGTTATGTGGCAAAGAAATTAAGAGAAGGTGCAAGGGATTTAAAGAAGAGGATTTGGCTAAGAGGTTTATGCAATTGTGAGAAGAAAATTAGGACATAAATGGAGAAAAAAGAATAAATAATGGCAATAATGGAAGAAAAGATGGAGTAAAACTTTAATAACGTTGAATGGATACAGAATTGGAATCTAAAAGAAAATGAAATCGAACCTTCGATTTCTGTATTGCTGTTCAAAATATTTGCTTCGTGTCTCTATAATCTTAGTTTGTCAAACATTTGCGGTACGATCGATCATTTTTTCAAAATTGCATAAGCCCAATCCTTAACCGGCATGCACGCTCTAAAGTTGCTAATGATCATACAATATATAATCAGGACTTAAGAGGGATAATAAAAACAAGAAAGTTAGTTTTGAACTGATACAGAGTATACATCCCACTTCTTTAAAAGTCTAATTCTTGTGTTGTTATTGTATCTCTAGAGGTTGCTCCTGTTCGATGGGGGATTAAAATCAAATTTTTAATAGATTTTGATAAAAGTTGATATAATGTATGATCGAAAAGTTGTGACTCTCATAAAATATTTGGTTAAAATTAAATGTTAAATTTGATTTAGATTAAAATCTATATTTTAATTCATATCAAACATGGGGCTAAGAACCGTTGAATCTACATATCTAGTAACATTCATTTCCAATAAATGAATATATTAAGGGGAGCATTCAATTTGGGCTTTTAAAAACTTTTATAATTTTTTTTTAAGTTATGGACTTTTGTGAAATTTGTATAGAATTAATAAAAGTCTTTTATAGACTTTCATTTTAAACGTGTATAGAATTTCTAACACTTTTCAAAGAATTTCATTTAAAATAAAAGGTACGTGTGTCGAATGCAACATTAGTTTCTCAAATAAGAGGTAAACTATTTCCTTTCCAGTAATAAAAAATATTTTTAAAAGAATAAAAATTGTAAAGAGAGTGTATTCAATTTGGACTTTTATAGACATTTTTTAAGATATAGACTTTTGTGAAGTTTATGAACTTTTATAGACAAATTAATAAAAATCTTTCTTAGAATTCTCAAGATTTTCAAGAACTTTTATTTAAAATAGAATTTACATGTGTTAGGCGCAACATTAAGAAGTTCTCAAATATGAGGTAAATATTTGAGAATAAAGCTACATGTACATAATGATGTACACGAGGGGGGTGTAAATGGTTATATACACCATGAGGTGTACATATAGCCTAACTCAATATTTGATCCTCACTATTCTCTTCCGGCTCTTCATGCAATAAAAAATATTTTCGAAATAATTAAAAAATTAAGTTATTTTAATTAATTAAATAAACAAATAAATAAT